TGCCACTTTTCTTTGACAAAAAATATCCAAAACGGTTTCCAAAAATATCTAAAAAGATCTAAATCTGCGTGGAAAAGATCTAGAAAAAACATTTAAATTGAAAAAGGCAAAAATTACATAGCTTTTGTTATGACTTACCTTACATAATCATGTCCTCACCTTCACTGATGTCTGCCTCACAAGATCCACAGGATAAATTTAGCTTGGATAATGAAGTTGAAGCTTCAGATCCAAAAAGCTGTTAGCTGTTCAAATTTCTTTATAAGTGGAACAGTAGGCTTATTTCTCTAGTCTCATCAGGTCGAATTTTAATGGCACGATAGCATTTAAGAGGTCAAATTTCATCTTGTTTTTTAGGTTAGATTTGATATAATTCCTAGCACTGAAAACCCTTTCTACGTCAGTATTTGAGTGGGGTAGTATCATGGCAGACATGGCACTTTAAAGAGCTTACAGAATGGACTGTTTGATGAGGCATCTTTAAATTGTCTCACTTCACACCAAAACGACTTAGTTTCTGTTTTGTTTGTCCATTCAGCTAACTTTATTTTGGTTAACTGATATTCTGCTTCCGCCACACTATTATCAGTAGCCCCTAAAAATTTCATAACTTTACAATATTTAGGTATCTCCTTTATTGGCTGAAGTATGTTGTTCACAGAAAAAAAGTGAAATATTTTTCAAAACATCTAGATTTTCAGGAAGTCTCTGCTTCAATTGCTTGAATAATGAGATAAGGAAATCTTGACAGCGTTTTCTTAAGTTGTTCTCTTCATTCTCTGTTAACAGTCCTTTTGTTTTTAAATCATCAATTTTTGATTCGATTTAATATCAAAGTTTCTAGAAAAATATTTACGATCTAAACGTCAAAAGCATTATCTAAATGCAATGAAAAAGATTTAAATTTAGATATAAAAGATCCAAAGTGGCAACACTGCTCCTGCCCGTGAGACTTGGCGGCAACAGTAGAAGACTATTAGTTTCAAACTGAACTGCCGAAGATAAGAAACAGTCACGTGACATGATTTGAACAAGAAATATTTCCTGTTTGTTGTGTTCTCATTACTGCAAGCATCCATGTTCAGCAGATCTTCTTGTACATATTTTTTAAAAATTATATACATCCACAATCCTCACCTATTTACCCAGGTCTTTCTTGTTTATTTAGTTTCGTAATAACCTTTCCTGACGAAAGGTTCTCTTAATATGTATGTTCTATTCAATGTTTAATTAGCTTGATATTTTGTCCGTTCCTCTTGTTGAAACGTTCAGTTGTCATTTGCATTACTGTTCCACTCCTCCCCCGTTAAATTTTGCAGTCATAGATGACTCTGTATTAAGTTACTTTTTGATATCATCTGACCTGTAGTCAGCATTATTACACCATCACTTGTCCCACTTGTCCTACATATTCTCTATCATGTTGATACTAAGTAGTTCAAAGGTACCACGTCCATCTCAAACTCCAATACATCTGTCATGATCTACAGTGAGGACAATATGACCTGTCTCCCCCCCCCCCCACCCCACCCTTCGCATTCCTGTTTATAAACTAAGGTTTCGCTGAATAGCTTATGTAATTATGACTTATACACATATGCATTCTCACCGGTGTTACAGAAATGGGTTGAGTTGTGCGGAGCGTCTCCATGTGTCTAGACAGATAATTTATACATTATTACAACACAACAGGCCTGATTAGTGTGCCCCTTGCCGAGCCTCAGTGTGCCGGACTTAGCCCGCGGGCCGCCATTTGAATAGCCCTGCTTTAGAACGTAAATAAAACTATAAAGTCCATTTGTTTTTTAAAATACTAGCTACTGATTTCAATGGGAGCAGCTGTAGTGCACCGCCTGCAGATGGGAAGGTCGTTGGTTTGGGTCATGAATTTGTTCAAAAATGACCTTGGCTCCCAGATCGACCCGACCTTGATTGCGTACAAGTATTGTCATGGAAAGTACAGGTAACCGACGAGATGTTGACCACATCTCTCATCGAGTGCCGATTAGTCTATAAAAAGTAGGTCTAGCCATATACACTCAATACGCTCAAATGAGCCTAAAAAGCGTCCTTTCTCTCATTCCCATTACTACCCATGGCCTCGTGTTAGTACATGATTCTTTCTGTGTACTGATTGAACAAAGACATAAGCACAAGGTAAGATGCCGGTCATGGCAAGAGATCATGACAGGACACAGCTCGTACAAGATAACAGCAGATGATAGTGGCCAGGTCACCAAGCAGCTGTGACAAATATCAGTTTGACGAGAAAGGTAACAAACTAAAGAGGACTCCTCCTTCTCCCACATTAGAGCCGCCACTGGCGAGTGTCATCAGGGCCCCTATTCAAGGGAATTAACCGGTAATTAGACCCGGTCGCGATCATCGACAGCGCTCTTTCACGGATCGCTGGTTCTGCATCGGCCTCGCCTCAGTTGTTGATGAAGAGGCAGGAGATAATCTTCCACATCCTTTTCTCCAGATTCACATTCAGCTTCAATGTGATGCGAAGATGTGCATCTTGACAATACTCATATCCTTCACATTCCTCGCTTTTGTACAATTGTTTTAACTAGTTTTCTATACCGTCCCTCCTTTCGACTTCTACCCATCTTTGGCTTGCAGTTTAGCTTAGGGATCATATATGCTCTCGTGAGCCAAATTTGCGTGTTAATTCAGATAGCTGATCTCTCAGATGAAGATTCTTCGTGCGCGCATGTGCCAATCTTTGTATGTGCGTGCTTATGCTAGTAAGGAAGATAAAAAGACACATTTCTACCAATGGTATTTGAGAATAAATTGATAAATGAATGTATCAAAGAATAAATACGGATTTTACATCAGTGCACGCGGGGTGTTCACACGCGTGCTCAGGCTCCTTCCTAGTTGACGACGACGAGTCCTAATACTAAAATGTCATTTGCAACCTAATTGAAAGTCCACCTAGGGTTTCCCCTCAGCGTTGAATATCCTCCAAAACCTCTGCTCGCCTCCCCCTTTTTTAGTTCCACCTTGAATTAGTCTTTCAGTAATGGGCACTAATATGACCGCTATGTTGCACAGTCTGCTTGATTCAGAAAAGCGCCCAACAGGTTCGTTTTATCATAACAGCTTACCCCTAGAGGAAGATAGCAGCCACTCTATCTGCCTGTTTATTACCAGCGCTCCAGAAATCCTAGACAGAAAATGCAAGATATGCTCCAGATCTGAGTCTTATCAAGCGATGCAAGCCTTTCTACACATAGGTAACCAGTTTCGATTTCTGAAACATGCTTTCTCAGTCAGTTAGGGTTATGAAATGTCGGTCTGAGCTGCTGTCAAGTCATCAGTAAGCGGCCGTTACTGCTTCCACTTCCAGTCTCATGCTGGATGTTGTGGCGTTATAGACGAGGTTGTTTTAACACAGCATACATTCACTTAAAAAAAAAAAAAACTCACACGCTCGTTTTGCATTTCCCTACATTCATATCAGTCTGTGTATATAATGATGTCATCTGGGCGTTAATTTTAATTGATCTGCTCTTGTTCCAAAGCCTATGTTTTACCTGCTATACATTTTTTTACTCTAGCAGTCCAAGGTAACCATCGGTTTGTTCAGAATTGGTTTTTCTGGGCAGCAGTGTGACCCACTTTTAACCATGCTCTATCTTGTCAATAGCACAAGCATTTTTAATAGTGACTTCTGATTGTGTTGGGACGTTGAGGTGCATCTTTGCCTTTTATGTCTTGTACATTTAGGGCGGTAATGCAAATATCCAGAAATGACTGGCATCAAATGTGCCGCAAATTATGGGCTCAAGTCTCTTGAGCACCCCCCCCCCCACATAATTTTGTAAGAATACTAAGAAACCCCCTGAAATCATGTATATAAATTCTATATAAAGTAATTGTTCATATAAACACACACACGAACACACACATATATATATATATATATATATATTTCTCTCATGTATATCAATATAATTACGTGCTATTCAGCACAGTAGTAATAGTAGTAGTAGTAGTAGTAGTAGTAGTAGTAGTAGTAGTAGTAGTAGTAGTAGCAGCAGTAGTAGTAGCAGCAGTAGTAGTAGTAGTAATGGTTGTGGTATTAGTAGCAGCAGCAGCAGTAGTAATATCAATATGCCAAGTGGCAAATAGGTATAAAGTGGCTGAAGTGACATCTTAGCCTCCCCCCCCCCCCATCCCCGTTTACCAATTTTTTTTTCAGAGGAAAAAGGGGGGGGGGGGCACTCAAGAACCTGAGGCCCACCGCCTTCACCCCACCCCAGTTATTTGCCTATAAAATTTGTAAGGTGTTGATAAGTATTATGTGTGTATGTGTAACAAGCACTTAAATCTGATGTATTTCTGTAAGGATAATAGGACAGTGAATTCAAAAATGTCTACCTACGGGCTCCCTGAATAGTCTCAGATCGGTGAAAAAGTCAAACGTTTGATGCATGCCTAACGGACGATATATAGCTAAAATAGCTTTCTAAATAAAAACCTTCGGGGTATCAATTTCATGTATTTACGAGGCGCCGGGATGGTGGTGGACATTGTCATTAATCTATAAACAGGGGGTGGGGGGAGAGGTAGACAAGACTGGGAACAGAGAATCTCCGGTATACTATTATTGGTGTTTTCCGCCCTGTCGGCAGAATGACAATTCCAGAAGTTAAGGGTTTCCTCGCTAAACCCCGGTTAAAAATAAGTGTGACGTTAGGATTTCCGCCCTCGGGATTTTTTTTTTTTTATCGTTGGCTTTGAAAAGTAGGTTACCGTTCCCCTTTTATGGAGAATCATAAATTAATGTTCACGGAAATGTCCTTTCGTGGCACAAATACGGGAAAATGGGGGCACCCGAAACATCGTCTGCGACTTCGAGCAAATTCCAGTGACACTGCCGTGGGATTCACGGAAGTAAATAGTCCATATTTGGAGATATCCGTCGTCGGTAAGAGTCGGAATCTCCGCCAAGCCGAAAAATATCGACCAATCAAAATTGAGCTGGTATGAAGCAACATGTCACGTTTTCTTGTAGGCCAGAAATGAATGAAAGACTGTCAGACAGCATGTTATCTTTGGTAGCGAACACATTGTTCTGTGAACTGAAAGAAAAGTTTACTTTCGCTATGCCTAGGGTCGTACCAGACCAACGGGCAACGTTTGAAAACGACGAATTGTTTAGAAAGCTGAGCCGAGAGAGTGAGGTAAGGAAACTTGTGTTTACCGGCTCATAGTTGGTAACTAGAGGATTTCTTTTCCATATGGGATTTCCAGGGAGTGTTCTAAAATACAGATCTAAGTGACGTAGTGTATTGAGACCGCTAATTCTCTTGAGGTCAAATATTTAGTTGTATACGTTGATTCCACGGATTATTCTATGTATCAAAAGGATGTTTAATATTATTAACGTATTTCTGTTTATAGGTGAGATATACTGGTTTTCGTGATAGACCTATGGAAGAACGACAAATCAGATTTCAAGCCGAGACACGCGAAGGACACGCAGATATTGTAAGTATTTGCCTTTGCTTCATTCAAACATACATAAAGTTTCCCAATTAGATGTTGTCTGTCCACTTAAAAACGAAAGTTATAATATAATGTAGTTGACTTCACTAAAGAAATATATGAACTTGGCTGCCTGATTGGATACATTACATGTTAACTTCACAAAATAAATCTGTTTTAGTTCATACATATCTGTAACCACAAGTGCAAAACCTTGTAAGTACACGTACAGCTAGAAATATGTTTAGAAGCAGCAATGCAACATTTTCGTGTGTTAAAAAATACATTTTATGGCATGACCCACGTTTTTTTATATTTTAAAATACTTGTTTAATATACATACAATGTAAAGATAAAATATACGGGTACGTTGATCGTTGTCCGTTAATACCGCTATGTCACACTCGCACTGATAACAGACGCAACTATAATTACACAACTGGCAGTGCAAGACGGGATTCCACCAACTGTTCTGGATGCGAAGTGCTGGCAATACTTTATATTTCTGCATGCTCGAGCAAAGCACTAGATTCAGTAAAAGCCAAACTTTTTCACTAGAGCCTTCTTCGGAACAAATAACCCGATCTTCCCTGTGTTGCTGTAATGGCAGGTTTTAACACTTGCTTTCTGTCTATCGCTAAGCCTTTGCTAGATTCTTATAGTTCAGTTTGAATTAACGAACTGTACGGTTTCAGTCAACCATAGCTAGACATAAACACAGTTGCCTGTGATAAGTGAGCATCAAAGACTAACTTGGGCAGCCAGAATCAGTTTGGATGAGTCTATATGTTTGCTGTCTCCAAACACTGATCAGATGTGGAGACCCTTTTCTCTGAGTTTCGTTTAGTAATAAATATTTCTTACAATGACAATGTGGCGAATCAGTTAGTAACATTTCTTTAAAAAAGAGTGTTTAGTTATGTAGACTACATGAATGTGACATGTTAGTGACGGACCTCGTGGCGCAGTGAGTACCAGTTCATCTAAATGATGGGTCTAGCACCACTTGTCCTGTAAGCCCCATACCGTGACAAGGGATTCCAGTTGTTAACATGTTTAGCTGTGTGCGAGTTAGTGCGGATGTCAAGCTTCTTGGGTGTCGGCATTAACGTATTGCATATATCTTATTGTGTTCAAGTTCGTATAGAATATTGGTACTGGTGTGAAGTGATAAAGGAACAAACTGTTGGGTGTGGAACTTAGTGTCGACCTAAATGTGTCATGTGTGGGAGTTAAATGCGCCGACTGTATATCGGGTGTGGGAGTCAGTATAGGCGGATAGTGCGTCTGGTGTTGGAGTCAGTATAGGCCATTAGTGTTTCGGGTGTGGGCATTAGTATGGGGCGATGGTGTGTCGGGTGTGGGAGTCAGTATAGACCGATGGTGTGGGGTGTGGGAGTCAATATGGGTCGATGGTGTAGGGTGTAGGAGTCAGTATGGGCCGATAGTGTGGGGTGTGGTAGTCAGTATGAGGCGATGGTGTGAGGTGTGGGAGTCAGTTTAGGTCAGTAATGTGTACTGAGCGGGAATCACTATATGCCTATAGTGTGTCAGGGGTAGGAGTCAGTATGGGGCGATGGTGTGGGGTGTGGGAGTCGGTTTAGGCCAGTAATGTATCCGGAGCGGGAATCAGTATGGGGTGATGGTTTATACGATGTTGAGGTTGCTTTGGTTTGTATATGGCGTCATTCTTTTCTGACTTGTGTGTAAATGAGTGCTGCCGTAAAGACTGTCTTGTGCGGAAATGAGTGCTGCCGTAAAGACTGTTTTGTGTGGAAATGAGTGCTGCCGTAAAGACTGTCTTGTGCGGATATGAGTGCTGCCGAAAAGACTGTCTTGTGTGTAAATGAGTGCTGCCGTAAAAACTGACTTCTGTGTAAATGAGTGCTGCCGTAAAGACTGTCTTGTGCGGAAATGAGTGCTGCCGTAAAGACTGTTTTGTGTGGAAAGTAGTGCTGCAGTGAAGACTGTCTTGTGCGGATATGAGTGCTGCCGAAAAGACTGTCTTGTGTGTAAATGAGTGCTGCCGTAAAAACTGACTTGTGTGTAAATGAGTGCTGCCGAAAAGACTGTCTTGTGTGTAAATGAGTGCTGCCGTAAAAACTGACTTGTGTGTAAATGAGTGCTGCCGTAAAGACTGTCTTGTGTGGAAATGAGTGCTGTCGTATAGATTGTTTTACATAGAAATGAAAGCTGCCGTAAAGACTGTCTTGTGGGAAAATGTGTGCTGTCGTAAAAACTGTCTTGTGCTGAAATTAGTGATATCGTAAAAACTGTCTGGAGTGAAAGTTACCATTTGTCAAGCTTGCTAGATGTAAAAGGTATTTCTTTATCAGAGGTCTTATATATATATATATATATATATATATATATATATATATATATATATATATTCTATGAAATCATTCACTGGCACTGTGTCCACTGATGTTCTTAGTTCTTTGGTGGCGTCTCTATATTTTCCTGTTTTTATCTCCGCATTTCTTTTAAATCTCCGCTCACTTGTAATTTTGTGTTTATTTTTTTCTAGGACTGTCCTTGTTTGGCACTGGAAGAACACAGTTGGCACGAATAGCCCATTTATCAGCAGCTTGTGTGTGTGTGTGTGTGTGTGTGTATGTGTGTGTGGGATGATATTTTGATGCCTCAAAATTGGCGCTATTTGATCATACATGTTGCCGGACTTGGGTAGACGGTAATGGGATGAAACGCTTGCTGTTTGCTGGTGAGTGTGAAATGTATGTACTCACATGATTCCTCCACCCTTCCCAACCACCTCCTTCCAATGACGGTCATAGTTACACTGTATCTCTTCTTTGGTGTATTTCATCCTTTACAAGAAGTATGCATATATTTACCTGAGTCTAACATTGTCTAGGCATTCAAACACTGAATAAATACGTTAATATCTAGTCTCCTATACGTTTCTTACACGTGTAAGCATTTTGAATAATGTATGTCCATTTTTGCTATGTAGGTAGAGAAGTTGATAACCTACGACAGATTCGGTTAGAGTCTCTGCTGTGACACGCGACAGCCGAATCACTGCGGTTGGCAACAACTTTCCATGTCTAGCAGAAACATCAGTCTCGCCGTCCTAACATATGGCCAAACACTACTTCTTTGATTCCAAGGCAAAGAAAAATCATTGAGATATTTAATAATGAACCAAACTACGCATAAGATCGTGTAATGACACTGGTTTGGAAATGTAATAATGTGTGCAGAATGCGACATGAACTTGAATAGTTGATGCCATTTACAAATATTTATGGGGAAAGTGCAGCCTGAAGAAGATATAGCAGACAAATGTCTAGCTGGCTTGATTAAGTGAAATATTCAATTCAAGAATAGAAACTTGACTGATGAATTTGATGATGGATTGAGATGGCGAACCACAGTGTGTGAGTGGTGGTATACGATGATGAGTGGCCGGTCTTTCTGTTGCTAGCTCTTTCCCTAACTGTTAAGTCATCTGACCACAAACAGCTGACTGCATGCACACAAATATCATCGCCTTGATGCAGAACGCATTTGGGCGCCTACAGTCTTTATTTTTTATTTTTTTTTATTGGTCAGTGTGTACTTTTGGTAAAACTGTAAGTGTTTAGGGTAAAAGAAGACGACCCACACAACATTAACTACGCGTAAAATACGACCTAGTTTTGTACTGAACACCGCCCACGCAGTAACATTGAATAAGACACTGCCCACATATTAGGCTTTAGTAAAATATGACCTAGTTTTGTACTGAACACCGCCCACACAGTAACCTTGAATAAGACACTGCCCACATATTAGGCTTTAGTAAAATATGACCTAGTTTTGTACTGAACACCGCCCACACAGTAACCTTGAATAAGACACTGCCCACATATTAGGCTTTAGTAAAATACGACCTAGTTGTGAATTGAACACAGCCCACACAGTAACATTGAATAAGACACTGCCCACATATTAGGCTTTAGTAAAGTACGACCTAGTTTTGTATTGAACACCGCCCACACAGTAACATTGAATAAGACACTGCCCACATATTAGGCTTTAGTAAAATACGACCTAGTTGTGAATTGAACACCGCCCACACAGTAACATTGAATAAGACACTGCCCACATTACGACCCATACAAAGTTATTGTTTACAATTCAGCTTACGTAGGACTTGCATTTAATTAGCTCTAGAAACATTATTCTTCAATCAGACAAATCACATTTAAGTCTTAAATCACACGACAGATTCGCCACCGTCGGTAGAAAGATGGCACTCTTCTAGCAATGTACAGCAATCCATAATTTTCTGTCATCAGATATGACTTACTTGTTACTGTTGAAAGCATACAGCCATTGAAACGGCCGTGTTTAGATAATTCGTTCTTTCTGATATTTTATTGTTCTGTAACAGCAACAACAACACACACGAAATTCACGTGGGATAAGTGAGCAGCCCACGAAATAGGATGAACAAGGCACTAGTACAGGATGCTTGTAGAAATGCTCGGCAGAGCCATTGTTGCATTTATATTGTTTTATTACATATATTCCAGTATTAAAGCCGTGTGTGGGATATGTGGGCTGTTTACAAAATAAGATGTATGTATGCTTTGTGTGAGTGTGTGTGTGTGTAAAAAACTACATTAAAACAGCATGCAGGAATAAATATTTGGTAGAGGCACAATTGCGAATATATTGTTTCACTACGTATATTGAACGCGTGTATGCCACGTTACCGGATTCATGACTTGACTGTAAACAGAATACGGGAAAAGAGGATGAAGAGGTTAATCAACTTTGCTTTGGCGATTGTTTAAATTTTATGTTTTTAGCAAGTTGTATTCACGTGGCTCTAATGATTAGTCTGTAGTTATTAGCTTCACTGAGGCCACCCATTGTCTAGTTCAGTGGTCGTCAAATCACGGCTCGCGAGCCGCATGCGGCTCTATAGCGATCTGAGTGCGGCTCGGCCAGCTGACCACAAACCGGTTTTGACTCCGAAAAACTTGGCTCTTGACAGGTTCTTGAAAAGAAATTTGGCTCTCAAAAAGTGTTGTGTCGTTCTGTTGCTGATTTGGTTCTCTTTGGACTAAAAAGTTTGCCGTCCGCTGGCCTAGTTGATCTGTTTTGTCTGAACATGACTATGCCTGGACACGTAAACATTTTGTATTGTCAAGTGAATGTTGGTCTAAACATCGCGAGAATTATTATTTGTGAAAGAAACTTATGTGAACATTCTCCAAGAGACTAACAAGTGACCTTGTCTGTGTCTCCAAACTTGACAAGTGTGTTGCGCGTAGCAGTTTCATCTGTGCAGTTTGCATATACAATGGTACCTCGTTATACGTACTTAACCCTTTCCTGATCCTTGGTCGTGTATTAAACGGTACGTATACCAAACAGTACGTTTACCAAACAGTACGTTTACGAAACGCATTTTCTAGTAGGAAATAAGGGGAGAATAATTAATCCGTTTCAGCGAAGAAGAAAAAGCATCACAATGTTTTTGGCCAGCTATACATTCGTGGAGTTCACTAAAATAATTTACATAATGCCTAATACTCAAATGTATAAATACAAAAGCAATAAAATGAAATAAATAAATATTGAACCTCATGTGTGACTTGAGCTTTCAGTGTCTGTCTGTTTTCTGATATCGTTTATACGACTAATTCAGTGTGACTTTAGCTTTCAGTGTCTGCCTGTCTTCTGATATCGTTTATACGACTAACTCAGTGTGACTTTAGCTTTCAATGTCTGCCTGTCTTCCGATATCGTTTATACGACTAACTCAGTGTGACTTTAGCTTTCAGTGTCTGCCTGTCTTCCGATATCGGCTGCTTAAAAAAAAAATAATAATGACTGCTGTCTGGCAAATGGTTTCTCTGTGGTTCTGTCATGCAAGAATCATATGCTGAATGGTGTTGATGTAACAATTTACTCCTATAGCTACACAAGATCGGTAATACACCGATTCCGTCCCCTGATGGCGTGGTGTTATAGATGGGCAGTGCATTGTTGCACACAGTCACATACACGCGCATCCACCAACATAGAAACACTCAGTTTTCACTTCCTATAGCAGGTGCTAAGCGACATTCATACAAATCTAGGCATGTCATCGAGCTAAATATTCATAACAGCTGACCTATTTACATTGGTCTCGAGGTATGGAATCCGCCCCGGGTGCTGGAAGTCCCTGGTTCAAACCGAGTGAAGGCTAGGATTTTTTTTTCGTGGACTTCTAGTAAATTTCCCTGGTCTCTTGGTAGTAAGACCGGATGCCCGTGTGTATTGTTACGCACATTAAAAATACATTGGTAGTTGGAAATCGACAAAGAGTACCCTAAGGGCGCTGTCCAGGCAAAATTTCGAGATAAAAATCTACCCAAAGTATTTCAGGATCCTCTCCGGTGCAACGGAGTTCGTGCACTGCGCTGAGATATTTCAGACTCAGGCTTGAGTAGAAGTAGAACGGAGCGCTTGTGGGTTACACCCGCGTGTCATGATATTGATCCGTCGAACGAACAAACAAACAGTTTTTTTTCCCTATGAGAAATGTGCACATTGTATAAACTTCATGTAAGGAACCCAGGAAAGTCGTACTGCCATGTGAATAGGTCACCTGACTACTGTTTCTCTTATGAGAAACAGCTTAATAAACGTTTTATTGTTGTGGTGTGGAAAAAGGGGGGGGGCATAGATGAGACATTTGGGACACAACATACCGCTACTATGACTGTAAACTGCAAACTAATGTAGATAACATTTGTCTCCACGCCAGAAGTCTACTGGAAGCGAGCTAGATGTATCAGGGCTACTCAGCTGCGGCTCGCGGGCTCAATCTGGCCCGTGCAGGCTTAACAAGTGGTCTGCAGATCATTGCCACTTGTATTGCGCTAATTAATTTTCTACACTAGGGCTGGGACCACTGACGATCCCTGTTTTTTTTTTTTTTTTAACCCTTCATAAACTTAGTTGAACAGCACTGATGTATGTCGTGAAAGGTCCATTTTACCAATTTTAAGCTATCGAATCGAGCTTTACATTTTATATAAGTTTGGGGGGGGGGGGGGAGGGGGGGGGTGAGTGATTTATCAAGTGTAAGGAGGAACGGCGTAGAGAGTGAGAGAGACTGTGATGTCTCAGAAAATAAATTGTTCATATTTTGCTTTATTTTCCCCACAGGCATTTGTTTGCACTGGAACAAACTTACAGTTGAATTTTGTTAGAGACGCGTGGTCCGAGAGAGCAGAGGACAGAATTGCTACCCCGGAGTTTGTTAACTTTGACCTAGAACCTGGCAAGGTAAGAGAAAACGACTGAATGTAAGGGAGCGTGTGCCCCTTGGCATAAGCCTGTCGTTAAAATCAGCCAGAATTATACGGTATTTCCACTGTTTTCCGTGTGATGGTTTATATATATATATATATATATATATATATATATATATATATATATATATATATATATATATATATGTGTGTGTGTGTGTGTAATTACGGCAAGTATCCACTTGCTATACATTTAAAGGGACAGATGAACACATTTCCATATTAGCATAGTGAAGTGCCTAAGGCACTTAATTGTTGATTTATAATATGCAGTATGTTTATTTGATAATTAGTGTTTGTTTTCATAAGAAATAAGCTAACTGATGTATTGGAGTCTAGCAGATATCTTTAGAACTGATGAACTAAAATCTAGCAGCTAGCTTTAGAACTGATGAACTAAAGTCTAGCAGCTAGCTTTAGAACTGATTAACTAAAGTCTAGCAGCTAGCTTTAGAACTGATGAACTAGAGTCTAGCAGATAGCTTTAGAACTGATGAACTAGAGTCTAGCAGATAGCTTTAGAACTGATGAACTAGAGTCTAGCAGCTAGCTTTAGAACTGATTAACTAAAGTCTAGCAGCTAGCTTTAGAACTGATGAACTAGAGTCTAGCAGCTAGCTTTAGAACTGATGAACTAGAGTCTAGCAGCTAGCTTTAGAACTGATGTACTAGATTCTAGCGGCTAGCTTTAGAACTGATGAACTAGAGTCTAGCAGCTAGCTTTAGAACTGATGAACTAGAGTCTAGCAGCTAGCTTTAGAACGGATGTACTAGAGTCTAACAGCTAGCTTTAGAACTGATGAACTAGAGTCTAGCAGCTAGCTTTAGAACTGATGAACTAGAGTCTAACAGCTAGCTTTAGAACTGATGACCTAGAGTTTAGCAGCTAGCTTTAGAACTGATGTACTAGAGTCTGGCGGCTAGCTTTAGAACTGATGTACTAGAGTCTAGCGGCTAGCTTTAGAACTGATGAACTAGAGTCTAGCGGCTAGCTTTAGAACTGATGAACTAGAGTCTAGCAGCTAGCTTTAGAACTGATGAACTAGAGTCTAGCAGATATAATTAGAACTGATAAACTAGAGTCTAGCAGCTAGCTTTAGAACTGATGAACTAGAGTCTAGCAGCTAGCTTTAGAACTGATGAACTAGAGTCTAGCAGATATAATTAGAACTGATGAACTAGAGTCTAGCAGCTAGCTTTAGAACTGATGAACTAGAGTCTAGCAGCTAGCTTTAGAACTGATGAACTAGAGTCTAGCAGATAAAATTAGAACTGATGAACTAGAGTCTAGCAGATATAATTAGAACTGATGTACTAAAGTCTAGCAGCTAGCTTTAGAACTGTTGTACTAGAGTCTAGCAGATATCATTAGAATTGATGTACTAGGTCTCTCTGAAAAGTAAAGGTGATCGGCTTGATATTAACCACATCACCTTTCCAGTTTTGATTAGTTTTTAAAATAATAGCAATGGCGCATATAATTTATGTGTACAAACCGTGCATTATTTACTTCCGCTGCTGGAGAAAAGGCTCCCGTCAAAGTAACCACGTAATTTATAGAGAAGTCAAGAGAGCCTATACCGTTAGTTTGGAAATAGTGCTGCGCCTGCAGACAGACAGGAGTGGTCGTTAGTCGTACATCAGCCTAATGCCAGTTGTGTGTGTCGATGTATGTACATATATGAATGCGTGAGTGTGTCGATGTATGTACATATGTACATATATGAATGCGTGAGTGTGTCGATGTATATACATATATACATATATGAATGCGTGAGTGTGTCGATGTATGTACATATGTACATATATGAATGCGTGAGTGTGTCGATGTATGTACATATGTACATATATGAATGCGTGAGTGTGTCGATGTATGTACATATGTACATATATGAATGCGTGAGTGTGTCGATGTATGTACATATGTACATATATGAATGCGTGAGTGTGTCGATGTATGTACATATGTACATATATGAATGCGTGAGTGTGTGGGTCTGATGACACTGTGAGATGGAAAGAAATAAAGGGAAAGGGGCGGAGGTGTTATTTGCGTTCTTTGACAATTAGAGATGCCTACGTTATGCACTCCCACGACAGCACTGATGTCTGTTGCGAACACTCCTCTCTGTCGGAGTGAGTAATCATCAAATTCTGCGCAAGAAAAAAATCATTTGTATCAGAGTAGAATATATAGGAAAGCAATCATTGCAGAGTATGCGTGCGCGCAAGAGCGAGTGTGGGTGTTGGAGGAAAGTCGTAGATGATAACATTCCCAATTTTGATAAAACGTATTAATATTAACATACTGCTGTGACTGACATAGACAGACACTATGGCACAGACAACACTGTCTGTCACCCGTGCTTCAGAATATGTCATGAACAAGTGGCAATATTTTAGATTGCCAAAGTGAATGGATCGCAGGGTCGTGGGTTCAAGTTCTGACGTAGTCGATATGTTTTTCTTCTTATTCAAAAATGACCTTGGCACCCAGCCTTGAGTGGGTACTACGTGAGTACTGGGAAGTAAGAGCGACCGACGTGATGCTGACCACATCACACACCACATGCCGATTGGTCTATAAAGTATAGCTCTTGCCCTACATGCCCAGTACGCATGGAGGCGTGAAAAAAGGGCATTTAACTACTTTTAGAGCAAGTGAGCACCTTTTGTGACACTCCTGTTCAAATAGAGTGCACTCAAGAGATACCCAGGTAACCTGGCAGATACTTGGCTCCCATAGTTAGGCCACATCAAAGCGCGCGTACCATCGTCTACCGCTCGACTATTTCTGCCCTATCTTAAAGCTACGACTTCGACAGTAAATCTGCTGATTTCCGGTGATGATCAGCACACATCACTTCTAGCACGTCTTACACATCACCTGACGCAGAATTTAATCAGTCTAGCTTTTAGTTGTACACAACTAAAATTCTTGTAAATGCCTTCAGTTATTTGAAAATCTCCGGTGTTCTCACAAATACAGATCTTCACAAAAAAGAACAATCCCGTTGTGTTATCAATGTTTGTAGATCTCGCATCCCCATCCCTGGTCAGTGCTGAATTAGTCACCACGTAGGCGGGATATTTCTGTGAGGACAAGTTACGCAATGGCCACTGACTGCACACAAGTTGGTGGCAGTGATCACATTGACAGCGAGGGCGTCTTTTCAGCAATGCATTATTTTAGAAAACTAGTAATGGTGTCTTTTAACCAAGGGATACCAGACTGCTGAGCTAAACGATTTGAGTACAGGCATATTGAATGTACACTGAAATAAAATTAATAAATAAAGAAAATCATATCGGTTGTTCAGCGAAGCTAAATCTATACCATTGTCGCCCACACGTCAAAAATATGTTTTAAATTTGTATAAAAATGCTTTCTGAAATGTCCTGCTCAAACTTCAAAAGCTTTCTCAAATATGTAGTTTACAGGGGATTGTGAGATGATTTTATAAAAATAATATGTCCTTTCCGACAGGGATAATCTGCGTTTTAGAAATAGATCTTCGGCGTGATCACCATGTTTATGCATTATCAATAGATTTTGCAACAACTTTTACGCCTCTGTTTTGCTCTTTTAGAATTCCTCCTACTCATGAGATTCCTTTCCTGTCTACTAACTGGTGTTAGTTGACCTCTTTCATCAGTGGCCTACTTATTTATTACACTTTGGGATCTCCCTCTCCAGGTTACAAATCTTGAGAATGAGGTCACTGATACTATCTCGTAAGACTGGCCTTGATCTCCAGTCACGGAATTTAATGACATGCACGACTTGTGACGAAGTTTGTCGACTTTTAGACGGAAGAAGCCGGAAGTTAATGGCGTAGCTGCCGTAGCCTCGCGTGGGGAATTAAAGATTATGTAACATGAAAAACTGTCTCATACATAAAATATACATTAATCTTACAGTTTGTGAATGTAACAAATCATTGTTTGGAGCTGAGATTTCATAGGAAGTTCAGAAGTCGCTGTCGAACGTTCGGTTTGGGATGCCTGAACAATGTATATGTATAAATATGTGATGTAATAAAAAAAACGACATGGTCGATAATAATCGGATGTAAATAATCGAGACCACTTGTGAGAATGGATTGCGTTTCACCCGCCTGTTTCAAATCAAAAACATCTGTCAGTTCAGCTTGCACCGATGACCATAGTACGTGGACACATAAGACCACCCATGTCCAAACTCTGGTCCTGGAGTCATAAATCAGTGCGGATCATGAGGAAGACGAGAAAACAAGTCATCGCACATTATTTCAAAATGGTAAAACTAAAAGGCTTTTACAAAAAATAAAACATTAAAACATATTTCCTAACATCCTAAGTAAACTAAGTTTATGTGAACTGGATTAGTGTTGACTTTAACAAGATATTATTGTGACAGTTTCACTTACCGAGCAAATAACTATTTCAGAAACCTAGATTTAGCTAAAACCACCCAACCTTTCCTTTCTTGTTATCCACACTCAGAGTTGATGGTTATATATCATCCTGGGTTGTAATAATCGAGATAAATGACATTCTGCTCAGATCAAATTCCTGTTCTTGACAGTCTAGGCAAAGAGAAAGGTGCCTCCATGGATCCAGACATCAAAAGTTGTCAGATGACATATTGTCTTTCACTTTATTTTACTATGTATGCCATCTCTCAAATCAATACAGAAAGTACATTTCCAGTGTGTTTTCTATTCTAGGAAACATTGTGGAATGTGTACTGTCCATTTGTCTTTTGCTAAGTGTCTGCATCATTTCAGTTGAACTGTGACTTTTGGCAGTCTGTTGTGTGCCTCATTTTTAGAAATAACACAAGGTGCAGGAATGAAGTCTCACTTTGTCACGGGTGGAAAGCTAATTTGATTTTTCCCCATAACTGTCCTTGTTAGATCATCTGGAGAATGGAAAAATGACTTTTATTTTACAAGCGTATGTTTTGCTGTCTCCATGTGACATTAAAAACGACTGTAGTGTTCCACTGAAGTTTTTACTGAGTCAGTCTAAGATTGGGCTCTTCAGATGAACAAGAGTAGTAACAGGTTTTTGTTTTATAGTAAAAAGAAACTTACCCACCAAACATGTCTTCAGAAGTGCAGGTACTTACCACAGATGTCTGAAAAAGTGCAGGTACTCACCACAAAAATGTCTTTAAAAGTGCAGATACTCACCACAAATGTCTTAACAAGTGCACTGACTCACAGCAAAATAAATTTTAAAGGAGCAGAATTTTGTTGCTCAGATAAAAGTTGACAGTACTGCAGTGGCTAGGATGAGTCATATCCATCATTATCTTACCAAAATGGTTACAACCACATCTTTGTTACAAGAAGGAGTAGCCACTTTTATTCCCTATGGTAAATTTTCTGGTGTTTTAGTTTTTTGTTCATGTGAGCTTTAGAAATTTAGAATAAAATCTCTAATTTTGTTCTGAGATGTGCAGAAAACTCTAGGTTCTGTCTGATTCCTGTAGTGGAGACCTCACATTTATCAACCACTGTCTTTAAATATATATAAATATATATATATACACACACACACACACACACACATATATACATACATATAAAGCCTGTAAAATTATTTCTGGAAAACATAGAACATCTGTTTTTCACTTAGAATCTTGTCAAGTTTTCGGGACACTTTTACTGCTGCACAGAGTTTTAGTTTTGTTTTGACTGTTTGCCTAATTCTAGGTTCTTCATATGCAGTAACCCTGTGTCTGGTTGACTGAGTAATGTGTACATGTTACTTTTCCAATGCCTAATAAACTGTTTTCTGACTTTGGTGGAGAAAGCTGAAATGTTCTCCTGTGCATGTACTTTTATATCTTAAGCACTGCCTGTCAGACATTTGAGCCTTGAAGAACAGCCTTCTTGATTAGCTAAAGTGGTCTTTCTAGACAGTGATGCTCAATGTGAATCAGGATGGTTTCATCACAGTAACAATGTCATCTGATGTATGACTTGCTGTGCATGAGGTCTCCATATAATTGCCTCAGCAAGTCTAGGTTTTACCTCATTAGACCCTGTTGGTCTGGATCATTGGTGCTAAATATGTTCCATCCACACAAACTATTGGCAGACAAAATAACTTGCTCTAGTACACGTGCAACCATTAACTAACTAGTTGTGAACAGCATTAACACAGCAGTGGCATGATAGTGAAGTGTAAATGAACTTCCTAAGTTCGGAAATATACATAAGATTTGCAGTCTTATGCCCTGATAATTACATAACCTGAGTGTTCCATTTTCGTCTTACAATAACAGATTTAGTTTTTCTGTTAAGACATTTGATATTTTGATTGTGGTTTTCAGGTTCATCTGAAATCTCAGTTTATATTAAACGGTGTCTGTGTTGTTTGGCGGGGCTGGGTTGATCTGGAACGGTTGGATGGGATAGGCTGCTTGGAGTTTGATGAAGAAAGAGCAGAGGTGAGTTTATCATTATTGTTGTTTTTACAAGTATATACATTTATAATAGAATCATGTGAGAGAATGTGTGTTCAGCTGACCAGTTAATTGTAAGGAATACATCGGTTTCATTGAAGTAAATACAGTTAATTCAGAAACAAATACAAATTTTTTTTTGACATGGGGTCAGGGGATGGTCTTGGAGTAGGATACCATTAAGAGAAACCTCATTACTGTTTGCCTGATTTATTCTCATTATCTTTGTCTTTCTCGAATGAATTTTCAGACCTAACTGTTGTGATCTCGCATCAAGTATATTTAAATTGCATCTGATTCCGATATCGAACCATTACTTTCTAAAATGCATGTATGTTGACTCTGCCGAATGCTTTTCCCTGGTAAAAATCCCACACCACAGTCCTTTTGTATTTAATGTTCTTTTCTGTTAACTGTGTAAGTTTAACTATATTCAGTATAAATACTTTCCACATGTCTCTTTGTAGTGTTTCCATTGCTCAAGCTTTTGGCTATCTATTCCTGTTATTTGTCCAACTCAGTTTTGCTGTTTTCTCAGACATTCTCCATAATCTTTGTGCGTCAGTTTTTAATTTATTTGCTGCTGGAGTATGTATGACTCATTCACTCAGTGACTTTAGTTCTTACAACATCTATGTGAAACTGTGGGTTGTGTATATCCTTGCTTTAATACTTTAGATATATGTATGAGAGTATTTATGCTGAGGCGCCATTTGGGTGGTATATGGTAACTTCAACAATATTCCTAATTTCTTTCCTGCCTCTTTGTGTACCCTATAATGTTTTAGCTACTGCTGCTGTTTCCTGTATTTGCTGATCGCTAGTCCATAGGATAATACTTTTCATATTGCCACTTTCTGTTGTGGAAATACGTATACTTTACATCATACTGCGTCTAGATCTCATTTGTATTGAAATGTATTCTCTTTTTTGTGACAACTTTAGCAATGGTTTTGATGGAGAGAACAGGATTTCAGGATAAGTTGAAATTATATAATTTGCTTACATTTAATACAGTCATATGTCACATGTTGTAAAACTAGAATGTTCTAAAGATTACCTATGCTTATGCATTAGGTAAGAAACTCATTAAAATGTCACCTTTTTTACTTTCATGTAATAAAATCTACCATAGCTAGGGTAGGCAACCAGCATTGAGAATTATCTCCCCTCACTGTCTTTAATATATTTTCTGTTTTTAGATTTACCGTGGCTTAAGTATCTTCCATTTCTGCATTTTTAACAGTCTATATATTTCATTTCCTGGCATGAAAGCATGCTTGTCTTTAGGGTCAGCAATGCCACACAGCATGACTACCAACAAAGAGAAGCTGACTGTTTGTCTTCACTTTTAGAGTGACAGTTGGGTCCCAGTTAGTGTTACACATGTTCTAAGATGCTAACCCTTTTGTCCCTGAGTCAGAGTGCACACACACACAGACACAAAACAAACAAGTAATAGCAGTCCATATGTTGAATATTCTGTAACCAGCCTGACTGTCTTCCCTGGATGCATCACGGCATTAGGGAGCATGGATTAAACCCCAATTGTTCCGAAATGACATACCCTTTTCATGCTGTAAAAACAGTTCATTTTTTCCCTCAATGATCCATCTGTCCCAGTTTTACACAACATGAACAGTATAGCCATTAAGATGGCAGCACCTCAGACAAAGAAGTGCCTGAAGGAAACTAGAAGAAAGCCCTAAGACAGTTTGTCCCAGTCAAGTGTTTGTCTTATGTAGCCCAGTTAGCTCTGTTATATTCATAGCTGAATTTGGGTTCTCAAGCAACTTGCACTTGTAACAGACAATGGTATGGGGAAAGACAAAGAAAAAATCAATATTTTAGTGGGGTACATGCTTCTTGCTCAGCTGTCTTACATTATTTGCCAGCATTCATGAAACTGGCTTTGAGATTTTGCAGTGAGCAAATGTCCTCCCTCCTAACTGGCACATGCACCCTCAGGATGCCACTTTCTGTGCTTTTCTCTGATCATCACAAAGCTAGAACCAATTATGAATCTTCTTTTGTTCACATTGTTTCAAGTTTGAAAAAAAAAAAGAAAAAAAAAAAGCTGGAGCTAACTGTCCTTCTCAGCCTTGGAACTACTGTGTTCTGCTGGAATGCAGATAGAATACAAATGGGTGTTTAAAAATAAAAATTCCCAACACTTTTGTTGAACAGTAACAAGCAGCTTTTACAAGCCACAGTTTTATTTAATAAAAAGAATAAATGAAAATTTAAGTATTATAAAATGTTTTATCATTAAAAACTGATTCGCATTATTTAAAGTTGCTGTGAAAGTATCAAATTTATTTATCCTTTTCATTCACTTCTAAATGATGTGATTGGATAGAGTGGCCAGATGATATTTTAATTAATGTAAGCAAAACAGATTGATCATGGGTGGTCACATGGCTGTCTTTTCATTGTTGTACATGGATTGTTGTTGGTGATATACTTATACATAGAGATTGTCTGGTGATAGTTGATTTTATATATATATATATTTATGTATACAGTGTTTTCTTCTGATTTACCTTTTTAATATTTTAAAGTATTGTTTTATTTGTAATTTCATTTTAAGAGAGCTTTTGGTTTTAGTTACATTTAATTTGGTGATTGCTTAGTGTGCTGTTAATATGATATTAATTGCTTTCACTATTTGCTCATTAAATTGTTGACTGTTCAGCATGTACAACTTTGTTTGGCTAAATATGTTAAATAACTGAAAGTGCAGAGCTATTTGTTATAAGATAATGTAACTGTGAAGCAGAAAAAGAAAACAACATTGTTTCAGGTGTGATGACCACCTCCGTTACTCAAAGCATGTCAATGGCCTCACAATAGCTTAACCCTTTGGAGACGACGCAGCCGAAATATTGACCCAAAAAAAGTAGCCAAAAGAACAACTGGCCTTAAAATTGACTATCAGGTTTTCGTACCAGCCAATCAGCTTCTCGCATTTCTTGCACATGTGGGTTGTTCATTGACGGCTTTTGGGAAAGTTTGATGTGTTCTGTGATTTTACATCAGTTTTTTCTGGTGTTACCTTGCACAAAAAATGGCGAAAAGGACAGTTGCATCATAGCCACCGAAACATAGCTGGAGGCAGGAAAATGAATAGAACCATGTGCCAGACGTATCGGAACGGCCTCCAATAAGCCTTACTTCCCAAAATACAGGTGTTATGACTTATTCAAGCTTTATCCATAAAAAAATTCACCAAAATGTGTCAGGTTAGTTATTTTTTGTTTCCCAGTTAAAAAATTTCTTTAATAAATTATGCAAACCAGAATAGTTAAGTTGAATAAATGTTGAGATTTCAGTTTGATTTATAAATATTGTTATTTCATTCAATTTCCTTTACAAATATATATAGTTTTTTATATGTTAATTAAATGCTTTATTTTTTATAATTTTTGTGTGTGCATAAACTATGAGAATCTCCGTCTTCTTGGCACCGAAACTCCAAAAAGGCTCCGTCTCCAAAGGATTAATCTTGTCGGAATTATGTTGTTTAAGGTGGTCAGAAATTAGTAATGTGAAGTTTATTCTTGTGTGTTGTACCCCATCACTTAAAAACTTGTGTCAGTGATTTAGTAGGGATAGTGTTTGTTGTAAATCTTACATAAACACACTTCATTTAATGAACATGGTCGAAATGTTGTACACGTTTGTGTCATGAGGCTGTTTAGATTTAACGTGGAACAGAATGTTCAGAATGTTGTAGACAGTTGTTTAGTCCAACGCGACATCTTTTGTGTATGTGTGTTTGTGGAAGGGGGGGGGGGGGGGGGGGTTGTCTGTTATACAAATATCAGAGTTACTTCTGAAGGTATATTTTCCTGAATGAGCAGGGACAGTGAGTCTTTCTAGTCACAAACTCCAAAAAACTATACTATTATGTTTGAGACTTGAATGGTGCCTTAATGCTCCTTATTCTTTTATGATCAGCTGTTTTGAATGTCCTGTACATACGTTTTGAGATACCAGTGACTTTTTCTCCTAAATTATTTTGCAATAAATTATTGTATACAATTTAACAAATGTCCCAAATTATTGTAAATTGTAGTCAAGAAATAACATCTACATTCAAATTGAAAATAAAAATATTCGTTAATGTCAACGTTGATGGTCTTGTGTAGCTCTTAGCACAATACAAAATGTCTGTTCATGTGTGTTCTCATTTGGATCAAAACAGCGTTCACGTCTAGAACCAGCGCGCACTCAGTCAGTCGATGTTACCGACTACAGAGCATACGCTGTCTGCATGTTGAATTTGCCGCCACTGTGAAAACGAGATCAGTACATGTGCAGTCAGCATGCGTGGTCTTTGGCAGACGCAACAAGCAGATGGAGGGTCCCCCCGAATTTAAGAGAAAAATCAATACAGAGATAGATTCACAGTCGGCATGTAAGGACATTGCCCTTGTTGCCTTGCTTCTGTGAACAGAATTTGCACCCGAATTCGCGAACCTTCAGACAGGATAGTTTTTTGTGTGTTTGTCAGTACAATAACTATTTTGGATATTTGTATAAGTTTAATTACAAAAGCGACTATTGGTTTTACGTGCCAAATTTTGTCGTGTTCGCCAGAAAACGCGACGCAGAACCTAGGACGTTACAAAAGACAATACGTTGGTGCAATAAACTGAAGTTTGAATCTCTAATCTATTGCAATGCCCGCTGGAACTGAGGATGATTTCCCTGGCTCTACATGAATTCCACTGAGCACTCAAATAATGGACATCAAAAGTTGTTTGTTGTGTCTCCGCTTGCCCGACTCTTTTTCTCGTTCTTTCCTAACAGCCATGACGATCTTGTGAAACTTGAATTGTGTGTTTGTGTAAAGCTACCATAATTTGCTTGTTCTTTCAATGGCTCTGTCGATTTTTTTGTTTGAAGCTGTGAAGAATAATGACGGCAATCGCTCACCTGCCGGCCCCGAGGTCTAGGGTTCAATTCCGTATCATGGATTT